TATGATTTTTTCTTGTCTTTTAACTTGTTCAGACAGTTGTTTGATCAAAATCTTTATTTTTTTTCTACTCTCTTACACTTAATTTTAGTTCAAAGTTGCAATTTTTTTTGGGGGGATTAGAAAAAAAAAACTAGAAAAATGGATCCTATGGTTTCACATTTGTTAGTTCTTCTAACACTAATCTTTCTCGTTATCGTTCAAACCCTCCATTGCTTGGGTTCTTCTTATGCAACAATACCTATGAGTTGTACGGACACGTCAAGATTATGCACGTCTTTTTTGGCTTTTAAACCACAGGAGAACCAAACTCTGGATGTGATCCAGAGCATGTTCGATGTGATACCACAAGACATAACAGTTGAAGGAGAGGGCGCCCATGGTTACATATTCATAAAAAAGAAATGTTCTTGCTTGACAAACCCCAAGAATTATGCAACAAACACAACCTTTACAGTCAGATCAAATCAAGGGTATGTTTATGACATGGTTTTAGAGGCTTATGATGGGCTTGCTATGGTTCCAAATGTTAGCAGGCCAGCAAGGATTGGAGCTGTGGTGTCTTTGAGGCTCTTTTGTGGGTGTTCAAGTGGGCTGTGGAACTACTTGATGAGTTATGTGATGAAAGATGAGGACAATGTGCAATCTCTAGCTAGTAGATTTGGGGTTAGCATGGATAGTATTGAGCAAGTTAATGGGATTCAAAATCCTGATAATGTCACTGTTGGTGCTTTGTATTATATTCCATTGAATTCAGGTTTGCCTCAAAAAGACCATTCTCTTTCTTTGTGAGGTTTTTTGTTTTATGGATTTGCATGAAGAATGCTATTGGATTGGAAATATGCATATTCAGTTGCTTTTCAAGATTTAGGTGTTAATGATTTTGATTATATTTTCATAGTTTATGAAAACTCTGCAAGTGTCGTGAACATAGGGGTTAATTTAATTAGTAAAATAAGATCTTTTACCCATAGTTTATTATAGTCTATAGCTAGGTATGCTAAAGACTTAAATCTTGCTGTCAGTTCTGCTTTGGCTTGTGTGATTGGAAGTTTAGCATTGGCGAGAAGGTTTTGTCGTTTGGCTAATTGGAAATGGATTGAAAATGAAGTAAGTTTGGGACGCTGATAAGATAACTTGATACTAATTGGTGAATTCATTTCACTTTTAGAGTCTGGAACCTACTTGGTTTCTATCTGAAGTCTTGATGTGAGCTTTGAGGGAAGGTGCTAATATCACATCGATATATATACCAACAGAATCATACTAATGAAATCCGTAATGTGTTCATACATATTTTAATTGTATATCAGTGACTAGAATTTATGGGTAACGTTTTATCATCCATTTCCTTGAATTGTAAGGCTGTTAGTTGGTGTTTTTGCATTATGCCTTTTGTGTTGTTTGCAGCTCACAGCGCATATCGGGAGTAGTCGTTTCTTCTGTAAATTTTGTTGGTTTCACGTATTGTCCAGTTCTTGTATTATGGTAGAAAGTTTTAGACTATAACTTGTTAAATATATTGCAGTTCCTGGTGAACCCTATCATGTGGAGAATGACATTCCCTTGGCACCTGTTCCTGCACCATCAGCTGACACACTTTCTGGTATGAATTGGTAAATCTTAGTGAACTAATTAAAACTATGTTAACTCAGACTCAAGTGCTAGCGGGTGTGTGACCGACATTGATTTGGTCAACCTATTTCTGTGTTTTTTTCATGTATTCGGATGGTTCTTGGAGGCCCTTATTCCCACAACTACGCCCAAGTCTGTTTCTAAGAGATGTAAAGTAGCAGCCGACAACCATAAATAAACGACATGATTTGCTGTATCCTGCATGTCAAAATAATTTCTACATGACAACATATGGATTCGATCTCTATTTGAACTTTTAAAGTGTTAATGCTTCTCCTTTCTGCAAAAAGTTTTTGACAGTTCCTTTTTGGGGGATTATAATGTTACTACCTCTCTTTTGTTCAATTTCCTGAATGACGGAAATGAATGGTAAATACTCCTCAGTGAGAGGGGTAATGTGAGTAATAGTTGTTTTCTTGATTTCGTGTACGAAATATACTGAGCTATACTTTTAATTTTATGCAGAAATTCAAGTAAATACCAAGGCTCATGTGCCATATGGATGGATCATTGGCGGTTTGGGTGTCGGCCTTGCCCTCATTATCATTGTAGTTTGTGTTTCCTTGAGATCCTCAAGCCGCTTCGGTGAAGCTCGAGGAGTTCATGCCAAAGATCATGATGCCAAGAGTTCTCACAAGTTCCACATTCTTCAGAAGCCAAGTTTCTGTTGTGGTTCAGGAAGATATGTTGACGGCAAGTCCGAGAATTGGAACCAAACCAACGGCGAACCTAGTAACCACCAGATTACCATCCCGAAAGGTTATTACACTGTGATTTCTTAGTTACTTTCACTTTATTTGTTGCTAGCTGAAATCCTGGCAATGAACTATGTATATCATACTAAACAAAGTAGATTAATTAATAAAAAAATGATAGCTTGCCACCATGACTGATCCGAAATTCTGGAAGTCTAACTTTGATTTCTTTTCTTTTGTTTTTCTTTTTTCTTTTTCTCTGTCAGCTCTAGGAATTGATGTACTTGATGTTGATAAGCCTCTGGTTTTCAATTATGAAGAGATTCTTTTTTTGACCAATGGGTTCTCGGATTCTAATCTTCTTGGACATGGAACCTATGGTTCTGTCTATTTCGGTCTCCTTCATGACCAGGTTTGTTCGATTATATATCGGGATTTGTTTTCTATGACCTGAATAGATGAACATTCCATTAAGTTCTGTTCCTTTGATTCTTTTAGGAAGTTGCTATCAAAAGAATGACTGCCACAAAGACGAAGGAGTTCATGGCGGAGATGAAAATCTTGTGTAAGGTTCACCATGCAAATCTGGTAATGCTTTTTGTATGATGAGAAATTGTTTATATTCCGAAATTACGAACCTTTCTTCCAACTGTTCAAAGCCATCGACTCCTGTTTCGGTTTAATTTTGTCGAAGGTAGAGTTGATCGGCTATGCTGCAAGTGATAACGAGCTCTTCCTTATTTATGAATATGCTCAAAAGGGTTCCCTCAGAAACCATTTACATGATCCCTTGAACAAAGGTAGGATTATTGCAGCGCTTCTTCAGTTAAAATTTATTTAATTTTAAGAATGAACTATCATGACTTTTACCAGATTGATTGTTTTATCGCTATAAATTTCGGAAATTATGTGTATTATGGTTATAAAACTGCACAGCTAGTAGTTCTAAAATGGACCGAATGTTATAAATAAAGGAGTTGGATCATTCATAACCGTAATGTATTTACAATGTCGATAGCAGACGCCCACAATGAATAAGCTTTTAATCCATTTCTTGACAAGTTTTCATTGTGAGGAGAAGGTATATTCTCATTATCGCGACGTCCCATGTCTTGTGTCAAATAGAATGCCAGCATATGTTTCAAGTCCTTCGACAGTTCGACTCCTGGCTCAGTTAGTTGTATCGGCACTTTCATGGGCTGGGAATAGTTATGACCATAAATCGCTCTGGATTTCAGATCTCTTGTATTCTAATTACTCTGCAAATGTTTACTGGCTTGCAGGTCATACACCGCTTTCGTGGATAATGTGGGTTCAGATCGCTCTCGATGCTGCTAGAGGCCTGGAGTACATCCATGAGCATACTAAAGCTCATTATGTTCATCGAGATATCAAGTCGAGCAACATTTTGCTCGATGGTTCTTTCAAGGCGAAGGTTCGCATTATGTTAAATGATGCTGCTTCTTTCTTAAGTGTGTTTGAGAACATTTAACTGACTTCTATTCTCGGATTAGATTTCAGATTTTGGATTGTCCAAGCTTGTTGGAAAAACAAATGATGAAGAAGCAACAGCAACAAAAGTTGTTGGTACATTTGGTTATTTGGCACCAGAGTAAGTAATGTTATTGTTCTATGTCACATATTGAGATTAAGAGAAAGGGGTTACGACCTTCCAGAGACCCTCCAGATATATGAAAAAAACGATTACACCTGTATCCAGCACTCGGTATCCGAATCGAGCAATACAGATATTGTTAGTTGGCTACTCTTTCACTAAATGTTAAATGTTCTTTTAAACTCTTATAGATATTTGAGCGATGGACTTGCATCGTCAAAAAGTGACGTGTATGCATTTGGTGTTGTGTTGTTTGAGATCATATCCGGAAAGCAGGCCATCATACGAACCGAAGCCACCATGACAAAAAATATCGAAAGACGTTCATTGGCATCTGTTGTGAGTTAAATCGTAGCAGTCTAAGATTTTAGATGTTCATCTTGTCTTGTACTAATGCGTTTATCTTTTTATGCTGCAATTTTGCAGATGTTAGCAGCTCTTCAGAACACAGACTCGACAAGCATGTCGAACACGGACTATATCGATCCAAATATGCTGGATCTTTTTCCTCATGATTGTGTCTTCAAGGTAAATATCATTTCCATGGTAGACATTCTAGAAAGCTAGAAAATTAGTAGTTAGGACTGCATATTCTCAAATTGGCGTTCTGATTTGATATCGATTTGCTTATAAGATGGCTATGCTGGCAAAGCAATGCGTGGATGAGGATCCTATTGTACGACCGGACATGAAACAAGTAGTGATCAACTTGTCACAGATCCTTCTGTCATCGGTCGAGTGGGAAGCGACACTCGCCGGGAGCAGCCAAGTATTTAGTGGTTTGGTCCAAGGAAGATAATTATAGAACATTTAGACAGCATCCTTTATTTGTCTCCATATTTCATGTTAAGTATGATGTTAGATTCTTTGAATACTTACGATGTGAGTGAATCTTTCGATGTAAACTGCCATTAACAAGAATTTTGGGTTAGCTCTTGTTTGCATTTGATTAATTAGTAAAAATTGTATTCATTTTGTGGATTAAGATTATTTATTTCAAGGAAAAAATATTATAAAAAAGCAAATATATATTTCAGGAATACAAAGGGGGATGTGACTTAAATAACTCAAAATGTTCTAAAAGGCTTACCATTCATTTTAAGCATCACTCAGAGAAATCATCCTCACCCCCACTGTACTGGTCGACATCTTGATGTCGCGAAAGCTTCCGTGGCCTCCCCCCAAACCCATCTTCGGCATCCAACCTTCCTATCTTCGAGCTCGAAATACCATACCTCATGTTGGAATAAACCTGTGCATCGAAATAAAAAAGATGTATATATGAGAACTAGATTTCACTAGTGGTGCAAACTCCTACAGCTGCCTCATGAACTATGTATGTGTAAGACACATTTTTTGCTTTTAAGTATCCATATTCAACATCCGTATAAGACACATTTGGACATACAATACTTCAAAGACCTTCCAAATATATGGAAAAACTTCAAAATTTTGAACATGCTCATATCCAAAATTACACTCGAATAGTGTAACATTAACTTATGATCATACCTCTGGCTCTTTCAGTTCTATCGCAGCAACTGTTGATCTCCTCCTTGCAGTAATTCTAGAAGGTATAGGGAAATGTTCAATCTCATCGCCGGATCTTCCCTCTCTGACCCTCTTTTTTCTTAAATTAAGCTTCGTCGGAAGAGCCTGCAACATGAGAGAGTGTGATACCATCATGGACTAATTCCAGAATTTCTGCCAAAAATGGATCAAAAAGGATGTAAATTTTGATCAAATGTATACCACATAGCGAGCTTCTCCTTCATTGAATGAAACAAGGTATGTTGTTGGGTCATTTGCATCATCACCCCGTACCTGTAAAAGAGTTGGAAAGATTTTTTAGAAAATTTTGATCAAATGTATACCACATAGCGAGCTCTAGCTTGAGCAATGTAACATTGTGAAAATCAGGTTACATACATCCCAATGGTATTCGCGAACCCAAGAATATGAGATATCTTCGTGCTCATCATACATATCCTTCGAAAGCTGGCATCATTAATAGTGAAAATTGAATAGTAATTCAGTTAGAATCAACAGATTGGCAAATAGGCTGTATAACAAAAGCTGCAGTGCTAATGGATATATGATATGTTGAACCCAAGGAACATCTACCTCATCAACAGAAGGCACCATGTATGCCAAAAATTTCTCTGGATTGGCCGGATCCAAGCTTGGTGCCGCATAACTTTTCATAATGGCCTACAATTATAAAATACATACATGCAAAAAAAAATCAAGACTCGTACCAAATGAAACAAATATATGTATCAGTAGCCATTATGTCCCACTGCCTTATGGGGTAAAAGAATATAAGTTTTTCTTTTATTTTGCCAACAATATCATAAAGTTAAAATAATTGCCTAAAATAACATTTCAGAGTTGACTATGATCATCCGTTGACTAAAAGCCACAGCCTCAGCAACAATATCTACTATTTGTGGGATACTCATTGATAATATTAGGGCCTAGAGACAGCATACAGATTAATATCAAGGGGGAAAACGCAGAATTAAGCATAAAAATGAATTTAAAAATAACAGGTCCCAAAGAAATCCTCGAGCCAGCAAAAACATTTTATGCACATAACGCATTAATTTCTAATTCATTTATTATAGTTAATAAATGAATTATGCAGCACATTATTTTGATCATGTATTTTGATCATGTATGCTACCACTACACTTGCAGACTAAAGGATTCTACTTACCAAAAAGTCAAGATATCAATAAACTATAGTAATGCATGTTTTATATGTAATTATGTATGCATCATTACAAATTTTTTTTTTGGGGGGGGAGCAGTTGGGGTTGGATAGGTTGCACAGGGCCTGAACCCTGACTTTTGGTGCCAACTTACAACAAACTTGCTACTACATCTGTGGCTCTATTGGCAACTATAGTAATGCATGTTGTATGTTAGTCTCAAGATATTAACTAATTTTATAAGCACATTATGCAATCTAGAAAATTCTTAATTCACCCTTGATTCATGCTCATCACGAACAGAGCTATGCAGCTTGCTGAAGATTTCTGAGTCAGCTGTTGGAGCACCATCAAATGCCACCATAACAAACTGATCATCGTACCTATCACAATAACAACACAGACATCAGATATAAGTATGCAATAACACAGCACAATGACTAATGATTGAAATCTAAGTTTTATAATCTAATCAACCATGTTTCTACATGTATGAGAGACCAAAAGGGGCGTAAAAACAAAGCAGGCAGCCCTGGCTAATTCCATACCTATCAAAATCTGGTAAGAGAGGCGTAACTTCGACCGGTTCTAAGTTTTTATTGGTTGCATGGACAGGACGTAACTTGGATGCCTCAAAAGATGCCTCAATTTCTTTTATTTGTCTTTCCCTGATAACATTGCCACCATTTTAGTGTTATTTTTTTCCAGATCTGCATCAAATAAGAATTTATCTTCAGAGAGGGAGGTTGGAATAAGGCAAACCTATTGTTAAGGTTCTCCAAAAGATTGTGGCCTCCCTTAAGTTCTCGCAGTTCTTTAGCTTGCTTTTCAGTCAAAGACTGCAAGTGCAAATGCATTTAGCTTTGACAAAGCTTCCAAAAATCATCATGGAGAACACCAAATATGAACACGGTAGTCAGCAATTACGTGTTTTGTTGATTCCATACTAAGAGGAGAAATGTACTGTGTTTTAACAAGCCAAGAAACACCTTTGTCAGTCGGTCTTTCTTTTCGTCTTATGCCATCTTTCTTTACAGGGGTTAAAGTTACATCATCACGCAAGAGTTCCTCATCTTCTGGGGCAAGAGGTGGTCTTACACTAGGAGTACTAATCAAACAACGAGAAAATAGGTAATCAAAACCACAACACCAAAAAGCAAAGGTATAAGAAAAAGTTATAAGCGGCTACAGTATGATACTTGTATACACTGAGGTCAAGCAAATCAAGTGGTATCCCGAGATCTGGCTCAACAAAAAGTTTAGGCTTGTACATTTTCTCCAGAGAAGTGATGGTGTACTTTGTAAACCTGTAAGAAAGAAGTACAAATTAACAAGAAATATCACAAAGGGATTAAATCCCGACATCAAAACCAAAGACCATAACCACTAACAAAAAAGTAAAAAGAGAAAGGGTAAATACATCCAATCAGACAACCAAAAAATTTATTGGATACTGGAATTCTAAATATAAGAAAATACAGCATCTTTCTTTGAAGCAAAAGGCTAGTTCTTACCTATCTTTATCATTATTCAAGGCCATAAGTTTAGGTTGTGCACTTGGATCAGGAAGTTCGTTCCGGAATCTATACAATATAAGTGATTGTCATTATCTGAAGAAAATAGAATAAATATTTTTCACTTAGATAGTCAAACAAGTAAACAAAAGGAACACTTTCCAACATGAAAAAGAAATTTCATATAGGAAAATAAGAAGGGGAATGCAGAAATAATGATTGAGTACAGTGTTCAACCAAAAAATATTTTAATACATAGACATGCAAGGAAATGTGGAAGAAACAAATTTGAGCAAAAGAAATAATTCAAATCCCATTGTTCGCTTAACTACTTTAGCTGCAATATGTATAGATTCTACAACACGAAGGGGGCAAGTACCGATATTTTCAAGTTAATCTACGGTCCGTGAACCTACTTAGCCAATAATTGTATTGAATTCCATAAGTCATCAGAGGATATTTCGAGTCCGGCATAAATAAGGACAATAGATGGCATCATTAAACTTAAACCAGATAAAACTCATCAGGGCGAGATAATAAACGTGAAATTTAAAAATCTTAATATGTAAATTTGATATCATAAACATAAAATTTATCAGTTTAATTTCTAATTTGATGTGGTCTAAGAACCAAATAGAATTGTAGACAAGGGGGAAAATCATTTCCATGTACTCACTTCAACTTGCATAAGAATGTAGTTGGCTTCTTTAATCTATTCTCAATCCTCTCACCACTCAGAAACGGTGTAGCTCTCCTATCTCCCATCAGAAAGCCTATCATCGAACCATGCCCTTTGGAGGAAGGCATCATTTGGGCCTTCTGCGATTCCTTCATCTGCTGTCTATGCTTTTCCTTTTGCCTTTGCTTCTCAAACTCCCTCTTCTTCCTCAACCTTCTTTCTTCCTCCGTCTCCACCCTTCCTGCAGGTCCATTAGGCTTCTTTGAAGGAGGCATAATTGGTTTGTGCTCTCTACTTCCAATCCCGTGATTAGAATGATCATGTTCACGCCGTCCAGAACCTGAAAAATCCCTATGCTCATATTTACCGCGTTCAGTCAACCTCTTGTCCGCAGCACTCTCCTTTGGAGGAGGCGGTGGAGGAGAACTTGGAGGAGGTGGTGGAGGGATTGAAGAACCAGGAGAACTTGGGGGAGGTGGCGGAGGAGGTGGCTGCATTGCTGGATTGCTATACTGTGAAGGTGGATAGTACATTGCTGGATGTGAGTTTAAGGTATTTTGTGTCATTGTAGGCAAAGGAGGGGGTGGGGGAGGTGGATATGAATATTGCTGCTGTGGAGGCGGTGGTTGCTGCTGTTGTTGTGGCGGTAGTCTTGAAGGAGGGTAATGGTAATTCGGTTTCAGATTCATCTGATTGTAATTTTGATCATAATGTTGTTGGGGTGGAAGAGGATTTTGATTTGGTGGTGGTGCTGGTGGTGGAGGAAAGGATTGAGGGAATGGCCTATACGAGGCCATTGTTCTTTGTTTCTTTTATTCCCTTGACCACAGTATCAAAAACTGAGATAAATAAAAAAGAAGCCCGAAGAAAAGGGCAGCAAAAGAAGAAAAAGAGATTTTGAATTGAACTCTGGGTTTCTTTCTCTCAGCGTTTTCTTGCAGAAATTAATCCAAAAATTGGAAAACCTTGAACTGGGTAGCCACTCGAATTTGAAATCTCCTATTTTCCTTACAAGAAAAAAAAAACCTAGGGGAATAAATCCCGAAACCTTGAAATCCTAATTTCCGAAATTCAGCCGAAGTAGCTAAAACCCTAGAAAAATAACCGCTAAAATCTTCAATTTAACCAGTTTGAGAGGGGGGAAGTGGGAAGAAAGCGTGAAAGGAGAGAGCAAAGATTTGAACTCAGAAATCAACAAACCCTAAGAAAGAGATGAAGGCTGAATTGGAATCTAACTTGAAAATACTTGCAAAAACACAGCTCCAACCAAATATATTACGAAGAAAAAACTATCGAACTCAAAATCCCAACTAATCGTATCTATATTTATAAATATATTTACAGCTATAAGCCAAAAGAGAAAAGTTTGAGTACGAAAACGGGAGAAGCTTTCCGGAACGGAGAAGGGGAGAGTATGCTCTTTTATTCGGCCGACTATTCTCCCCCTTGATATCGTATTCCTGCTTTGTTTTTTTCATATATATGACTTTGATCCAATTTTCATACTTCAACTTCACTTATAGATTCAAACTCATACACCAATTTGGGTTTTTAACTCAAATTAATAATTACGTAAATGCTACCGACCACTTAATTCAAACGATAAATAAATTGATATTATTTAAACAGATGTTGAATTTGAAATTTTACGTACGTTGAATATAGAAAATTTTAATTAAGAAACTCATCTATCAAAATTAAATGTACGATACAAATCGATCCGAATTAATCAAGTTAATGCGTATAGAAACCGAGAGAACAACTTAAAAAAATAATTACATAAATGCTTTATTTAAATCAATTTAAATTATAAAAATATTTTTATGTTCTTATAGTTTTGAATTATAATTTTAAAGTTCACTAAAAACGGGGTATAAGAATTAAGAAACTCTAAAAAAATAATCATATTCTCTTTATTTTACATCTAATTGAGTTCTTAATGAAATAAATTTCATAAATTAAATCTTTTGGTCAACTATTTAGGTTATTGACTGTTATCTGATATAATAATTAACGTGTAAATTAAACATATTTTTTTTAATAATATTAACATTGTATTTGAATAATTATTTCTTATTAATATTTTTTACTACGTTTTGAAATTGAAAGTGTAGAGACTACACTTAAATGATACTCATAACTCAAATACATAATAGTGTCACCCCAACTTAGTAAGCATGGTGGTGATGATTTCAAGAATGTTCAGTTGTATCGAAACATGGTTGGGACACTTCAATATAAATGGTGAAAGTTAATTTTCATAATTATGTTATTAATGTCTTAAACTTTCTTTTACCTATCAAATATTTTTTCATTTTATGGTTTAATCTCATATGTATTTGATCTATTGATCGATTATTTCGGATTAAATTTTACAAAGATCCATGTGAGACGATTATTCCATTCCAATTTGTTCCAAGTATCTTTTATTTTTTTAATAAACCTTTTATATTGTTTCTCTATATACTTCTAAATTATATGTTTATTTGATAAGGTAATTATTTCTTATGTCGAAAATATATAATATTTTTTAAAATTATCTTAAATCAAAATGGTATTATAATATAATATTAAAAGTTTCACATAAAGTATATATTATAAGATTATTCACTATTTATTAAGTTTTTAATGATCTTGTTATCTTAACTTAAAGAGATATTGTTTAGTTTTTATATGTTTCTTAGTTTAATTAGATTATACTGTTAATAAAAAATATTTTAATTTGTTAAAATTTATTGTAAAATAAGTGTTAAATTTAAGTTAATATACACATAAAATGTTGTCAAATATAAATCAAACATTAAACTTAATTTAGTGACTAGGTGTGTTTTTATCTAAGGGTAAAGTACACATGGAAACTCAACTATAGAACGATGTTTTGTTGAGTCCGTCGATTATTAAAAGTTAAAATATAATCAATTATTTATATGTTTCAAGCCAATATTTTTTCGTTAAAAATTGATGATCATCTAACCTGAACGTTAAACTGCTGACTAAAATATGATAAAATCTTATTCAAAATCTTTTTGAGGTATATTTTGTGAATCGAGTATCTGTTTACATTACGTCGCCGAACTAGTGCTTGAAACATTATGTCATCAAGCCAATGCAAGCAATGATGATGTCTGTAGACATCATTAAAATATGATTTTATCACATCTCAATCATAATGTTAACATTTAATTCAGACGAATACCAATTTTTTAACAAAAAAGGACGAGTTTAAAACATATGAATAATGAGATAACCATTTTATAATTTTTAATAATCACGAGACTCAACAAAATAATACCATAACCTATTTATGTACTTTACCCTTTATTCTACTATAGGTTTTAAAGTTGATCCCACCTCAATTTTATTTACTTAATTTTTCAATAATAAGATACAAGTTAACAAATATAAAAGATATTTTGAATCATAAAGGTAACATGTATCCTCTTAGTTGAGAATTAAATTTATTGGAAAAAATTGAAATTAAATGTAAATATAAATTTAGTGAATGAAATTAAAATTTAAATCAAATTCCTTCAAATGGGAATATATGAAGACATTTGATTGAAGGATTAAATTAAATTAAAATAAACATCAAATTTATAGAATATATGTTAATAGTGAGAGCTAAATATATAGTTATATAGATTTATTTAGCTACTACATCAACAATTCCATTAACCATTAATAACTTAATTGAAACCAGTTTAATAGTTTAGTAATCTAATTGACAAAATTCATAGTTTAATGACCAAGATAAAATCACTCCAATAATTTAGTGACCGCAAGATAGTCAACGCCAAGTCAATGTTCATGACTTTTTTTAGTTCAAAAAACTTTTTTTTTGAATATTCAAAAGAAAAATCCATGCGACAATTTAGTGATAGTAAAACCCATATCACACAGTTGAGCATTGGAATAACTTAATGGACCTGACACCAACAAGTACACCTATTTATGGATGTGTTCTTTAGATGCAAACGGGTATGCTTTGAGGACCAATATGTATATTAAGCCATTAATATATAACCATAAAAATGAATTGTTTGAAGATAATAATTCATCGTAATTTAGTGAAGTTAAGAATTTGCATTAAAATATGTTAGGATCAAAGTGCAAACTTATGTTAACATGTGTAATTATTTCAGATTGAAAAAAGATCTAACGAGACAGGCAGACATGGCCATGACATACATCAAAATACCTATCTATCTATCTATCAATCTGTTATGTATGAGCAAAAATACCTTAACTCAAAGGTAATGGGTGCCCATGATATACATTAAAGCAAATATAAGTCTCAGAGAAACACAGGTGCCATTACAAGTGTTATGGTAGCAAGCATTTTTATGAGCACATGAAGTGAAGGTCCAGCTGTGTCTTTGAATGGATCTCCCACACTGCAATCCCACATGTTCCAATTATGCCTCCTTTATTCTTTTTTATTTTTTTAACACTTTTATTTTTATGACTGCCTTATCTCTGCTAGGCCTATCATCCGAGAGCTATGTTACTCAGACTCGGGTGTGAGTATCCGATACGGATATGTGCCTGACATGAATATGATCAAAATTCCCATATATTTGGAGAATACTTAGATGTCATATCATCATACTATCAGGCACGAGCGTTGAATGAGTCGGAGCAACATATCTCCTACATTTATGAAGGAAAAGAACAAGAATATAAGAAAAGGGAAAGGGAAAACGAACTTACGTGTCACCAGTTACTGCTGCTTTGTGAGCATCACTGCCTTTACCACCGAGAGCTCCGGTCTCGATAAACTTCTTTGCATTATCCCAGGCACCACCAGCTGTGTTCAGAAAAAGAGCCATTAAAATACCGGAAACCGTTGCAAACATCAAAAGAGCAGCCACAACTTTTGCTCCCAGGAGAGGTTGTCCTGTGTAGTGTCCCAAAACTCGGAATAGAAAACCTGCAAATTGTTACATATTGATTTTGATTATATTGCCTACAAATAAACTAAACTGAATAGAAAATCCGAGAAACTCGGAATAGAAAACCTGCAAATTGTTACATTTTGAGTTACATTTTGATTGTGATTAGATTGCCTACAAATAAACTAAACTGAATAGAAAATCCGAGAAACTCGGTATAGAAAACCTGCAAATTGTTGCATTTTGATTGTGATTAGATTGCCTACAAATAAACTAAACTGAATAGAAAATCCGAGAAACTTGGAATAGAAAACTTGCAAATTGTTACATTTTGATTGTGATTAGATTGCCTACAAATAAACTATACTGAATAGAAAATCCGAGAAACCACTTTGGACATCTAATCTCCTAAATTCTCTTTTTCTTTTGGTTAAAAATATTTTCCTACATTCTTGACATGGTCCTAGAGATTCCAGCAATATTTCAACACATCTAAAACATGAAACAAAGATTCCAAGTTCACGCTAAAAAAAGCCAAGAAAAAAATCCCAGATTCAGTGACGCAATTATTATAAATTAATAATAAGTTGCAGATTAAACCAAAGATCTTAAATCTAAACGGGAGAGGAACTATGAGTGAGAAAGGTAGAGAGAGAAAGAGAGCGAGTGCTTTTGGTCGTTCATTCACCGGTGAGGAATGGACTGTTTTTGTTGACAATCTTAGTAAGAGAGTTGATAGAAGTGAGTTAAGAGAGATTTTCAACCATTATGGAAGAATATTGAGGGTCTTTATTCCAAATTTTATGGTTAAACCAAATTATAAGTCATCCACGTTTGCTTTTCTGCAATATGTGAAGGAGGAAGGTTGCAGAAGAGCAGTTCAGAATGTCAACGGAATGCTCATTGACGGGATGAGAGTCTCAGTGGGGGTTGCAAAGTACACGAGGGGCAGGAGAAGAGAAGCAGAGGTACAAAGAAATCAGTTGGAAGGAATTAAGCTAGATAGAGAGGCTTTTGGTAGACAGCAGGATGAGCTGGAGAAGCCGAGAAGCTTGAGAGATGACAGATCGTATAAGGAGGTTGTGAATGTGGCTAATAGTAGGAGTTTGAATCCAGAACGATTGGTGATTAGGGGAGGTCAGAAGAATGCAAATGGAATAAGAAATGTATGGGATATGCACATCCCATCAGATGATTTTTGCTGGGTGAAAAACTCCTTAACAGGGGTTATCAAAGATCCATTTCAGCCTGATATGGTGATGAGAGCTTTGGCAAAGGAGGGTTTCCAGGTTAAGATAGTAAGGTGGGGTTATGTCAGGAACGCCAGTATTATTACGTTCAATACAAATGAAGAGTTTTTAAAGGCATGGTCGAGTCTTCGAGAGAAACTCTATTGCTGGTTTGATTGGGTAGATCCATTGTTGAGTGAAGATGGAGTCCCTTTGGCTTATTGCTTGGTCGAGCTGGTTGGTTTACCGCTTCTTAGTTGGAGTGTACCTTTTCTGGAAAAGCTTGGTAGTAAGTGGGGAAAGGTTGTTAGCATCCTGGAGGAAACTAGAAATAGAGATGACTTCTCTTCGGCCAGAATGCTGTTGAGGGTTGCAAGCCCTTTCGATGTACAAGAATCTGTTATTGTAGGATCTTATGGCAGATCCTTTAAAGTTAAAATTAATGTGGGTTCCAGCTCTAAACCTATCTCTGAAGCTTATGGAGACGTGAGGCAGAATTTTTCATATGGCAGCTGCAGTGGCGATGTTTCAAAGGGGGGTGATGGTAGAAACACAAAGAAGGAAGAAGACAATAGAGAGAACTCAGCAGAAGGATTTCGGTCAAAGGTTGACACGTGGTTTCAGAATAGTCAAGAAAGGAGGATGTCAAAAGAAGGGGAACTTTATCTGAAAAAGAAGTCTGACACTCTGCCCAATAATAATGGGGTGTCAGACAAATTTGAATTTGAATTAAATCCTTGTGGGGATTATGCGGGCCTTGGGCTGCGAGAGGTTGTGGATCAGAGTCTTCCAACCCATTTGGATTCTAATTGGGAGTCTTATTCTCCTGTTACTAAAATTATCCCAGCAGGCCCTGCTGTAAAGTTGAAATGGAACAGGCCAGTAAATCAAAAAAAGGTTCAGACTCAATCCGAATTACAAGGGCAACATACAGTTTTAGTGAGGGATGAAGTTCCAGTTAAAAATAGAGCTGTTCTAAAGAAGGTGAAAATGGCTAAGGATGTTAATCAAGTGGGCCTTCATGCGTGTAGCGCTTCATCTTTTTGAGAGGGGAAGAAATTCAGTAATTCACAATGGTTGTGCAGAAATTAAGAAGAGTCAGATTCGATGGAAACTGGGTTTTCCAGTTTCAGCTGGTTTATCAATTAAAAATATTGGTGGGAAGAGGATCAGCGATCGCTTTTCAAGAGTCTACAGAAGATCAAGAGGTAGAAGAATTTGGCTAAGCTCGAGGAAGGAGGATTCTAAAAGTGGCTGTCAGGTTTTATGAATAAAGATCAAAATGCTCCTGAAGGTTTTATTCAACAGGTTTCTTCCGAAAACAGGGGAACTGAACAGGATGTTGATGTCTCTTGTTATGTTAATAAGCAGAATACACCATTGGTTCCATTATTTTGTAATAATCATTTTGAGGACCGGACATCAATCCTACTTTCTGCTTCATAGATTTGCAGGAATTTCAGGAGGGAAAAAAGAATTTTAACAAGGGAAGCTGTGGACCTGGTTAATATGTTAACTGTCTTTTCCCCTCGGTTTTTGAAATTGGTGGAGGAAGCCATGGCAACTTGGGAAGTCTGTCAGTTGCTAGGTATTTCCTTCAAGGAAGGGAAGAAGACTTTCATTGAAAAAATTATTAGTCTTGATAATGGCTCGAAGATTGTTAGGGATGATTGATTTCTCAGGGAAGGTTGATTTCTCGGGGAAGATTAAGGGAGGTTTTTTTCCTTTTTTTTATATGATGAAGTTAAAGTTATCTATTGTGACTTGGAATCTCAGAGGTTTGGGTAGAAAAGAGAAGCAAAGGGCTGTGCAGAGATTACTGTATTATCACTGCCCTCATTTTTTGTGGTTACAGGAAACTAAATTGGAGAAAATTCAAAAATCTATTTCTAGAAGGTGTGGTTTAAACAACTTGCAAGGGTGTATTGAGTCCTCTTCGGTTGGTGCTTCAGGGGGTTTACTAAGTTGCTGGAATGACAATATTTTTGAGTTGGATAATCAATTTGTTTCCAGTAGATTCATAGCTATTTCTGGGAGGTTTCGTGCAAATAATTTCATATGTAGGTTCATCAATGTATATGGTCCTTCAGTTGAAGAATTAGGTATGTTCAATGGAGGTTACAGTGATCCTATTTGTGTTGGAGGGGACCTAAATGTTTATCTTCATGAGGACGAGAAGATGGGTAGGGCCCAAAATAGGAATTCAGTAGAGATTTTCAGTCATTTTCTGCTGAACACAGGTTTAATTGATCTGCCATTGAGTGGGGGTCGGTATACTTGGTGTAATAACCAAGATTCACCAACTTGTGTTAGACTGGACAGATTTTTGGTTGATAGCCAGTTCTTAGCTGCATTTCCAGATTTAACTCAATCTCTTTTGCCCAGGTCTGTTTCTGGCCATAATGCAGTAATTATTGAAAATGGTGGGGATAATTGGGGTAAGAAACCTTTTAAACTTTTTAATTATCTAATGGATGAAGTCGGATTCGAGGATGTGATCAGCTTATCAATTCGAGATTGTAAGAAAAACCAGAGGAAAGCTGGAATTTTCAGCATACTGAAGAATACCAAAATGGCAATAAAAAATTGGGCAGGGAGGAGAGAAAAGTTTCCAAGGGATTTGATTTCTGATCTTGGATCGAAAATTCAAAAGCTAGAGGTGGATATTCATCAGGGTCTAATTGGTTACAGTTCTGAGATAGCACTTGAGTTGAAGAGATCAAGAGCAGAATTGTGGAGGCTGTATAAGATAGAGGAGCAGATTTGGTTCTAGAACTCAAGATCGAAGTGGGTAGAAGATGGCGACAGAAACACAAGATATTTTTCATACATGTGCTTCAGTTAGGAGGAAAAGAAATGCATTGAATGCTATTCTTGTCAATGGCAACTTTGTTCATGATCCGAATGTTATTAAATCAACAGTTAGAGATTTTTTCAAGGCTTTCAATGATCAGTTTACTCTTCAAGTGGAAGACATTGGGCTGGATTTTTCTAGTATTACACTCGAACAGAGTTTGAGATTAGAGAAAGAATTTACTGAGGAGGAAATTTGGGGAGTTCTATTGAGTCTTGTAATGGGAATAAAGTTCCTGGGCCAGACGGTCTAAATATGGGATTTTTTAAAAGATTCTGGAATATGCTTAAGGGTGATGTTATGAAGTTTTTCAATAACTTCTATTTGGGAAAAGAGTGGGAACATGGTATTAATCATACATTTATTACTCTTATCCCTAAGGTTTCTTTTTTTTTTTGATAGGAATTGAAAGCCTCGTTAAAAACCTCCTTCTTGATTAAAGGAGCTTGTAGAAAAGCTCCTTAATCAGCGGAATGAGGAAAAGAGTGCCTTAAGATTTCATTAACCATAAGAAACATAAGATACAAACAAGCAACCAAAAACAACCAGAAAAAAAACCCTATACAACAACCCTAACACAACGAAAACCATCTAAGCTACAACAACATTCACAAAACTGTCTGGGCAGACTTAACACCTGAACTAAGCCCGAAAACCAACACAAAAACAATACAACTGAAACAGAAGCCGAATACCACAGCTGACTCAATCCAAAAAAGCCAGCATCAAAAACAAAAGCCCTGAACTTCCACACGATAAGAGTACAAGATCTTCTTCCGCCTTACAGCCTCTTCTTGCTCGACTTGTCGACAGAGACTATCCGAACCACCAACTCCATATAAATAAAAAGTAAGGAATCGCCTTAAAATACCAAAACTCCCACTGGCAAAATCTTCTGATATCGAAACCACTATAGAGCCTTCAAGATCAGAAAAAACTTCCTCTCTATGCAACTTTCTCTGAGAACTCTTGCTTCGACTCTAACGAGACTTCCTTTGGTGGGCCGAAAATTTTTCTTGAAAATTTCGGAGAGAACTAAAAATAACATTCTTCTCCTCCAAAACTCTTAGTTTCTTACGCCCATCCACTATCTCGGATTTCGATAGCTGCATCCCCTGACCAACAAGCACTTCCTCGTGTACCACCATTACCTTAAATCCATCTGTAGGCGTGGACGACACATCTGGCAATTTCACGTTACCTTTGATTGCATCCTTAGACCCAACGTGCGCCCTACTAACACTCTCCAAGGCATGAAAAGTGCCACCACTTTGACATGCATAAACCTGCACAGCTGCCCCACTAACCAAATCCACATTCGGAATCTCCATGAACCTATTATTATTTAATAATAACTTTGTCTGCTGTAAACCAACATTAATTGTTGGAGTCAAACGCCTACCACTATCATCAAGAAACATGTGCTGCACATCT